ACGACAATGTTGCATGGCCACGAAGACTTTCGAGGAATTGCGGCTCAAAAAAATTTCGACAGTTGTCAGAATGGTACCCTCCACAGCCACCCTCCCCCCCCGGTTCGTTTCCTCCTGCCTGCTGGAGGAGGCGGAAACTTTTTTTTTTTAATGGCCTTGAGGTATTATCATCGGACTAACCAGCCCAGGTAAATTCAATCTTGCGTCTAATCTGACAACGGTGGCCTTGCAAGCCAAGGGTGGCCTGATAGCCTTCAGGGATCCCCCACTGGGGGGCACTGGCCGGGGGACAGCCGGTCGCAGAGGGACCGAGCATCATCTGAGTGGCCAGTCGGCGGAAATTAGAAAGTGCCCCACCTGCCTTCCGAGAATTGCGTTCAAATTTGCATTTGCATTGGGCCTCGCTGCACTACTCTTGAAATGCACAAAAGACAAAAAGCATGGCCGTGTATCTTTCCATGTTCTAGGGGAAGATTCGCTCTCGTTTTGCACATTTCGAGAGTAGTGCAGCGAGGCCCATTGTCAGGGACTGTTCCGTGACACCCGTGCCGTGTCGAAAGGCGGAGTCCATTTGGCCACGACCAAAAACAACCTTGCCCCTCGACAGTTTATTCTTGTCAATTTAATATCTGATCCGTGGTCCATCGGGAAAAAAAAAAAAAAAAAAAAAACCTTGCCCCTCTACAGCCTGTGTGGCGAAGGGTGGACTGTAGACCGCCGATTTTCGATTTTTTTCTGACAGCTGTCGAAACTCAGAGAGAGTTTCGACAGCCTGTGTGGCGAGCCTCTGAGCCCGCACGCATTTTTTTCGCTCATCCGCGAGCAATGCGCAAGGCAACCGCAGCTTGGCCAAGCAAGGAAAATTAATCTCTTTGGAACTCGACACTCGAGTCGAGTCCTGCTTGCTCTCGCCAGAACGCAATTCCTTTAGTACAAGGCGAAAGAATAGTACAGAACGCAATCCCTGCTCCTGTCGCGGCACTGGATGATAGAAGGGTCCCGATTATCCACGTGGCAGAGCAAATCGGGAAGCGCAGCGTCAGCTTTGCGTTCCGCTGCTCAGGTCTCTCTGTCACTAGTCGAGCATGGAATCGGGCGACATGGAGATACAAATAGAGACTCTAGGAGAGCAGAACCAATCAGAGGGTGACATGGCATGATTGACGTGTCACCACAAGCGAGAGGAAAGGAGAGAGGCAGAAGCAGGGCTGACGTGGCGAATAAGTGTAAAAGGTGTTCGGGTGGCGGCAAATAGGGAATCTTTTTGCGTATTTCAATTCGAGGTATGCCACAATTCCTACCGAACTGAAAATTGACTGTTTTTGGAAATAAAAATAATAAAAAAAATAAATAAAATTCCAACCGAACTGAGAGGACTGGGGGGAGAGACTAGAAAAAGAGTAAGGGCATACGCGCACTGCCGTAGGGGCGTTTTAGAATGACCTCTGAGCGTAATCGCGGTCAGATTCATCCATGAAAGTCCTATCAAGTGTGAGTACGCCCTGAGATCCCTGCTGAGACAGTGTCCGTAGTATTCATCGCTATACGTCGCTCGGGAAATTTCTGATTCCAAACATCCACTTCATCAATTTATCTCTGTCCCCTATCTCCTGCTCGCTCGCACCCCGATCCCTCTCCACCCTCTCTGTTCCCCCCCACCCCCGCTCTCTCTCTCTCTCTCTCTCTCTCTCTCTCTCTCTCTCTCTCTCTCTCTCTCTCTCTCTCTCTCTCTCTCT